TGACAGCACCATAACTGCCGTTTCTACTTCGGCACACTTTCTTTAAATCCAGAGGAGAAAGCCAAATAGAAGTGAACAAGGGAGAAAATTCCAGACAACTATAACAGCAGCTCTCATTTTAGCGACATCAAGCCTGGATGCATATACAGAACTTCTGACCAGTCCTTATAGAGCAATTCTGCTTCAGGTCTTCACTTCAACTGGAGCCTAGCACAAGGCACAAAGCCTCCCGAGGCTCGTAAACCTCTCTTTCAACTAGAGCTATTTGTCCACAGATCCCTTCACAACAGCCAAAATAATTACCACAGCATGTCCTCTCAAGTGCCAAAATTTCTTTGACTGCCAAGACAAAAGAAAAACAGAAGATTGTGAAGTGACATAATCTGTGGCAATGATGCATTTTAAACATAGAGCTCTAATTTTGGCTTGAATGTCGGTATTTGGTGAAGTGTTTAGTCTTTACGCTAATAACAACTCCTGCCTGACCGGCCTGGCATAGCTTTCATAGTGAAGATTGCTATTCTGTTAGTGTAGTTTTAGTTTTTAGGTGAAATTATTAGAAAGCCTGGCAGAACCAAGAGCAACAGAAGCTGGAAGTCCCGGGCCTGGGGGCCAAGCAGGCAGTGTGAGGAGCATGCAAGCCCGACGCCCAGCCTTGCACGCTGCTGCCCTCGGGCAGACCATTCCACCTTTCCCTCTCATTTTTTTTAGGAGTTCTTTAAAATCACTGGGGTTTGCTGCAGTTTTTCCTTTTTTTTTCAGTTGAGGAACTCTTCCAGATGGCCAGCAGTATGGCATAGATGTATTGGCAGTAAAAAACATTAATTTCCAAACTTCCTATAAGCAAATTAAAGACGCAATTCAAAATCCTATTTACTGCAGATGTATAAATAAATCAGTACACGTTAAAAAAAAAATATGGCTATTGCCCACTATTAACTAGTGGAGTTGCTTTTTAGCCCGACAGTGGGAATGATTCCTGCTTGATATCCTTCCAGGAAGTCTCTAAAAATCTGTTACGAGCCTTTAACTCAAGTCACTTTTGCAGTATGAATGTGGTTTGTGTAAATTTCAAATGGCATTTCCATGCTAAACAGCAAGCTGAGTTCCCACATGCTTTCTTTTTCCACAGTCTATGTAGTACCTGGAACATTATCCCGGTCAAATGAAAGCATCTCTTTTATTATCTTAGGTTAAAGTCTAAATGCTCCTTATTTTCACTTGCAATCTTTTCTTTCATGTGTGTGGGTTTAAGTCGATGTGACTAAGACACCATAAACCACTGCCTATTTTAAGCATGTAATGTTCATAGAAAACAAACTTAGAAATTCCAGAAAACTTTCTTAAATCTGTGATATTAAACATATCTACACTGTAAACTCTCGCATGGTTTAATTTGATCTTTGGCCTACACTATGTAGCATCTGAGCTCCTGATGAAGCCTGAGACGGGTGTCTTGGTCTCCAGATGCAGTTTCACAGTGGCTGTGAGGATCTCCTGATTTCCTGCGATAAGACTATTGGAACTATTGGAACTATTTAGTTCATGTCTGTCACTAGTCTGCTAGAAGGCAGACTAGTGGACAGAGGAAGCTGTTTGCTGTTTGAAGAGGCATTTAACAAACTATTTCTAAACCTGAAGGAGGAACTCCTTTACACTAAGAACAATATTATTCATAAAACTCAGGAACCTTTTTTATTTTGTGTCCAAGATCTAACCGGCTTCTTGATGCTATAACAAACAAGATGTACCACTAATTCGCTGGGTTTGGAACAGCCCCTCTGCATTATCTGTTTGAGACCTCAATGTGCAGTTCATCTATTTTCTCCTCTTTTTAGAATAGAACTGAAAGTTCAGTAAGTTTGGGGAAATTTGCATGTACATTTTTACTTATTTTTAAATCTTATGTATTCCAAAGAGCACACAGAGTGCCTCAGTTGGTGCTTCTGAGGAAACACTTTTACACACTTCACATTTATTTTGGCCAAGATTTAGCTCCTTCTGGGAAAAAAATGCTTTACAGTATGAGACCATAAATTAAACCACCCTTTTATATAGACTTTTATACGATCCTTTTGTGAAATAAAAACTTTAAGAGGAAAGAAGAACAATCCTGCTAGCATTTCTCTCCGAAGCATCACAGGATTCAGGCATTCTCATTTTACAGTCGTCTCTTGGCCACTTTTACATAATTGCTGCAACAATTTGAACTAAATTAAAAGCTTCTAATTGATCATCCTCCTGAATTGCTTCTGAATTGTCATTCTTTCTCACATACGATTAGACATCTGTTGTCCTAAAATTATTTTCATCTGCCACAAAAGTAAATTATTTTAATTGTTCAGCAAGAATTAACCTTTCATGCACGATATTATTATTGTTGATGCTAGATGCACTTTGGAAAGATATGTTTCTTTCATGTATCTGTATATAAGCAATGACTGCCTCCATGTTTATGAGCCTCAGTAATTGTTGGGAAATAGCTACTTCAGTATTTAAAACTGATGTATACGCTGAAAGTACTTTCTAAAATGATTGGAATATTGAAATATTTGGAGGAGAAAAAAAAAGTGACTTTCACATGCAGAATAGTGGTACTAATTATCTGATTTAAATTATCTTTCCCCCAAAACATCATCAACGCAACAAATGGTTTTCTACATATTACCAGCTTTTAAAACGGTATCTAAAGAGCTTTTCATCCATGAAGTTCAGAGTTTATGCCTCTGAGGTATGAAGAAAGGCATATGTGTTTGTGTAGGAGATAGTTGATGTGTTTCTGAAAGAGAGTTTCAGAAATGGGAATTTGGAGCCTGAAGAAGTGTGATATATAGCCACAAAACTAAGCAAGAGAGAGGGAGGAATAACAGCTATTCAAGTTTTGGACTGGGTGCCAGCTGAAACAAAGTTTTGTTAATTTATTTGTGCAGAGTTGCGCTCTCACACTCAGAAAATACATATTTTTTGTAGGTAAACAATGTCACACCACAGGCACACAGCTCGCAGGCACACAGCTCGCAGTATCAGTTTCCCACTCCAAACCGAAATTACAACAGAGCTCTGACTTTTGACAGTTTGCTTGTGTCAGAGATTTACAGCAATATCCTGACACGATCATGTCCAGGGCTGGAGCCAGCAGGCATGAGAGCCGAGTTCAGGGCTCAGGTGGGCACAGGCAGTGAGCGCCGCACTAAGCAGTTCAGCAAGTGGGGCCAAGCACATTCCACAGTGGTGCTCCAGCCCACGTTTATTTTTACTCAAAGGACTAGCTGTGCATGGAGCAGTCTTCAATTACCAGCTCTTTTCTCTCTCCCTATAAAGCAACCATAAGAAATGAATTTAGGTATTTAAGCAATTACTTAAGAATTAAGCAATAAAAGAGAAATATCCAGTGGCAGATTCACCTTCATTTACATCAGATATCCCATCAAAGCATTCCCTGAAACCTCCTCTAATGTCCTAGATGGAAGTTTCCCTTGCATACAGAAGTGACATGTTTTGTTTAAATCTGCATGGCATTTTTCACAGTATCAGGTTTGTGTGTTTACCTTAGAATTTTCTTCAGTGCAGAGATGTCAGCACAGATGTGAGGAGCTGTAATTAATTTTTCAGTAAGGACAAGTAGAGTCAGGGAAAAACAGCAAGCCAGCAGGAACTCCAAAAGCAGGATGATAAAATTTGGGAGTATGCCTACTGCAGAAGTCAGCTTCTTTCAGTATTAAGTAGCCAATGGAGAGCATGATGATTCAGGGGAGAAAACTAAAGTCATCCAAAATAAAGTCAGGCAGTGCAGAAAGAACAGTGACGTTTCAGGATCAGCATATCCACTCCTGGAAGTTACATTATCAGCCCTAGAGCATCATGTCTACCGTCCAGAGGCTAAAGCTCTGCTAAAGCACATTAGTCATCTTTGCTATAAAGTCTACCGGGGACAACTGTAATTTTCTTCTGGATGTAGACATGACAGCCTGAGCTAAAGCTAGAGAGTAGAGCAGAAGGCCTTGCTTATAGGAACAGGAAAGCCGTGTGTAACTTGCCACTACTGTGACTGGACAGTGAGGGAAGTAACTGAAAATACATGCCTATATAAAGGTTTTCTTCAGGTTGGAGTGTGTAGCTATAGCCCCAACCTCAGCTTTGCTGACAACTGTGTTCTTCGATACTCCTCCACGCCTCATTTCTCCCATTCGCTCCTAACACAATTAAGTCATTCAACGTTTTAGAGGGTCCCTTCACCCAGAGCAGCCCAGCTTGCATTGCAATGCCTGGGCACGAGGCTGCACAGCACAGAGCTCCTCTCGCCTGGGTTAGGGCAGGAACCAGCCTCAGGCAGCCGCAGCCACCGCATCCACAGAGCTTTGGCAGGGATCAGAAGTGGGAGGCTTCTTTTTGCTGCCATCTGCTTTTAAAAATAGTGACAGACGGTGAACCTTTTCCAGGTTAGCAATTTGGGTAAGTAACGCACTCTAGGGCTGGTCTGACGGTGGGCCGTAGTATCAGGACCCGGCGAGGCAGTGACATGAAGGGCAGCATGGCAGCCCGGGCAGCCAGCGCTGGGCTGGACGCTGGTGCCCAGCCGGCTGCCTCGAGTCGCGGCGGGGAGCGCCGGCGGCGGGGAGCGCCGCGGGGCCCTGCCCGCTGCAGCCGCCCCAGCTCGGCTGGGTGCGGCAGCCCTTGCGGCCCCCTCAGGACAGGCAGCCGCCCAACGGCCGCGCCGCGCACCAACGGCCCTAACGGCCGCGCACCAACGGCCGCGCCGCCGGCGGGGAGCGCGCGGGAGCCGATGGGGGCGGGCACGGGCGTGTGGCAGGCGGGGCGGCCGCTTCCCTCGCCGGGCGGCCGGGGCGGGGAGCCGCGCAGCCCGGCAGCATCATCGGCGCGGCGGGGCCGACACGCGCCGCCTCCTCCTCCTCCTCCTCTCCGCCGGCAGCCGCTCGCACGCGGAGGGAGGGCGGGCGGGGGGCAGGCAGCGCGGGGGGCGCCGCGCAGACAAAGCCAAGATGGCAGGGATCCTCGCCTGGTTCTGGAACGAGCGGTTCTGGCTGCCGCACAATGTCACCTGGGCGGACCTGCAGAGCACGGAGGAGGCCACCTTCCCGCAGGCGGAGGACCTCTACCTCGCCTGCCCGCTCGCCTTCTGCATCTTCATGATCCGCCTGCTCTTCGAGAGGTAGCGCAGCACCGCGCCGGGCGCCCCCTCCCGCCCCGCCGCGCTGCCCCGGGGGGCTCCGCGGTGCCTCCCTCCTTCCCTCCGCGCTGCCGCCGTCCCCTGCCCTGGGCCGGTCACGTAGCGGGGGATACGCGGGGGAGCCGGCGCGGCCGCTCCACCTGCGGCCGGGCTGAGGCGCGGCCAGGGGCCTGGGGCGGCCCCGGCGGGGAGGGGGCCGCGGCGGCGGCACCTGCGCAGCCCCCCCCGCCGCGTCCCTGTGGCGGCCCGCGGGAGCCGCCGGTCACGGCGCGAGGGAGGGGCTCGCCCTGCCCCTGCTGGCGGGTCCCGCGGCGCTGCGGGAAGAGGCTGCGTCGCGCGGCGGGCAGCGCTGCCGCCTGCGGGTTCGTCCTTCCCGCCACGCGGCCCGAGCGCCCGAGGAGGCGGCGAGCGCCCTGGCCCAGGGCAGGAGGCGGCTTCGGATGCGAGTGCCGGCTGGGAGCGCGAAGTTTAACAGTAAGGAGCAGCCTAAAATTAAACTGCTGTTATGTGGCTGAGGGGAGTTTTGCTCGCCTGGTTTCAGCGGTAGCAGCGTGAATAATGCATATTGTCTATGGGGAGTGTTTCAGGTGCTGCCGAGACACAGGATCTCGGTGAAGAAATGGTCCTGGTACAGTTCATCATTAAACTAGACTTGCTATGTCATTAAGCAAAACTTGCTGTTTTGCAAAACGTGCATTTTGAATTGTGCAATCCCAAGCATATAAATATGTCCAGACATACCTATATACAAACAGGGCATATCAAACTAAAGATTGTTCAAGAAAAATACAGTGAGCTTTATGTGTATTTAACAGAGCCCCCCCTTTAATGGGAAGCAGCTGAAGTGAAGCAGGTTGCTCATTTGTGTTTAGTTCTCTGCTGCCTAATAAAGATACTTTATCTACCTAGAACAAAAGAGTGCTTCCATATGTCAACACCTACATATTTTCAGTGCTGTCTTTCTGTTAGGATAGTCAAAAAAGATAAAAGAACACCAGTAATTATTACGTACCAGAGAGACTATCAGGGTAGTCAAAGAACTATAAAATAGCTGATCTGAGAGGCAGAGCACTCCTTGCACCTCCTAAGCACTCCCTTGTCCTCAGAATTTGCTGCCTGTGTTTTTCTTGGGTGGGAGGGAGGAAGGTCTGTTTTCATTTCCCAGTTGAGAGTACTAGATTTATTTTGAAAAATAAGCTGTCATGGGCTGCTGTAAACTTCTGTGTTGCTTTACAGATTTATAAAAAAGACAGGAGAATTTGTGGTCTGCCTGCAAATTTGAGATTATCAAAAGTTGATTTAAACAGTGATCCTGAATTAAATGCTGCAATATAAATTGAGTGCCAGGTATTATCTAGATAGTGACAAATAATTACAGTTTTTCCTTTGCTCTCAGTGCCATAAAAGCACACATTGTACAGAAAGTGGGTGCATGGTGTTGCATATCTTACCATCTGAACTGTGATATGTGTCACAGCAGGTCCATGTTTAGATGGAAGAGTGGTTAGTCAAGGAGACAATTTGAGCCTATCACCTTGTTTCTAGTGGTTCTGATGCGGCTATTAGTGTTAGAGGAGCTAACCCCATTTATTTAGCTGTGTGTGTGCCCATGCCCCAGGTTAGTTATTTTACTCCTTGTTGTTGTTGTTCATTTGATTAAACTCACTTTCCACTTTGTAGTGCATATGTATACCAGTGTTTTGCAGAGGAGAAAATCAGTATATTTTCATAATGCTTCTACAGGCTGCTTTTGAATGTCAAACCTGGAAATGTGTGTTACTTTCATAGTAGTAGGTGCTAAACCTCTAAAGGAATTTTATTAACAACTCTTGGAGTCTGTATTTGTTACATCTTAATTCTAAATTAATTGCAGAATTCCTCTATGAGAGTAGGACCAGGGTGTTTTGTGTGAGATGAACTCCCAAAACATAATACAATTGTAATGTTTGATATGGAGTGTTTTATTTAAGCAAGCCGAGCTAAAATGACTGGGTCTGCTTCCACTGATCAAAGCAAAAAGATTGTCTTTAACTTGAATGGGGGAAAGATCAAGCCTTATTATTGCTTATTAGTAATTTATTTTGTTGGAGCTCCGCTTCATTTGTGGAGAACAATGAAATGCCTCATGCACATTGTTAATTAGAAGCTTGCAATTATTTCAATTGGTAAAGCTATCTGAGATCTGGAAAAGATAAGAAAAAGTGTGAAGTTGATAATCTTTTATCATTTTGTCTGTATAAAAGCAGCAACATTTTTCTTTCAAAGTTCACGTTGAAAGTATTGTGTTGAATGCTAGAAGTAATGGATATAAACTACTTTATCAGATTTTCTGCCTCTTTTACCATAGCCGACTACCAAGTTGTTACAGTGGTTTTACTTCCCTTACTGTAAGGCATGCCTGACATCATTAAACTTCACAATAATAAGAAGTACAATTCAAGAGGAGCTGTGATTTTGACTTTGTACATATTTGCTCTCTAAGTTTTTGATATTTTGGAGGGAGTAAAACTTGTCATGCCAGAAGCTTAAAGTTCATGTTTTTTATATATACACATGTGTGCATGTTTGTGACTGTGATTGAAAAGATTTATAAATACGGAATAAAATTTCCAAATTCTAAGATTAACAACTTACATCTTACTGCCGTTTTCTTAATAGCTTGATGAATCAACTGATCAAGTCAAGAGAAGAATCTAGACGCTTCTGAAATAATACTTGTCATTTTCTAGAAAAAAAAAAATCTGCCTTGACCTTGGCAGAGTAGTCTTGGAAGACAGGAAAAGGTAGATTAGAACATTAAGGTCATGCTGAATCCTTTCAGCAATTGGATCTGGTGATGATGAGTGCTCTAGAAAGAAGGTTTGCTTTGAAGTGTAGTCTCATAACTGTGAGATCAGTGGATCTATGAGTCCATCATAGTTACGGATGAAGTGCTAAAATATCTTAACAGCCTTTTTTCTTTTTCTGTCTCTTTTTCCATCCTTCTCATTTATCACAGAATCATAGAATTGCATCCAATTTATCTCTTTCTTCAAACAGAAACTACATTTTAGAAAACTAAGCACAAAGCTAGTGTCACATAATATTTCGGAAGATGGTATGAGGTTAGAGTAATTTGAAAGATGGTATGAGGTTAGCTTTGTAGTGATAAGCGGGGATGTATTTCCTCATAGTGTGTATCAATTTTGCCTGAAAGACCAGGATGCGGTTAAGGATCCATGCTGCGCTACAGGATACCTTCAGCTCTAAGAAGACAACGTAAATGTTTGCATAACACCAGCTTTTGTCTCCCCAGATCATTTTTATTTCTAGCGTAGGCAAGTCAGGTTAAAGCTGGGTTATAGATGGTCTTGGTAATAGTAGGATGTTGTAGTTTTAGTCTAAAAAGCTAAAGAAGCATCTGTTATCCTAGGCGAGGTACAGTTTTTCTTCTCTCACTTATGGGTCTCGGATCCTGTGGATATTCTCTTTCTGAGCTAAACCTTGCTGCTGAGAAACAGCAGCCTTTCCCATTTTCACAAACAGATCCTCTGTGATCCAGGCTTATCTGGAGAGGCATGTGAGTATATGAGAACAGCATTTGCTTCAGCATCTCTGTGATTGTTTAACACAGAACAAGAGTTTAGCCCTTCAGTGTTTTAAAGCCCCTTCTCAAGAGAGTAGTTCACTCAATTCTCCAGAAGTAGTGCTAAATAAATATGTTTCTGGCATGATGCAACAATCTTCTGTTTCTATGTGGCCTAATATCACTCCTTCTTTACACTTGGCTTGTATTTTCAGGTTTCTCATTTCACCTCTTTGTACTGGAATTGCAATGTACTCTCTTCCCTGCACCTTGTAAGCAACAATTTGAGTTCACATCTGATGACCTGGCTCCATAAATGAGCAAGCTGAGCTCCTAATGCCTTCATTATCCTCTGGCACAGGGGGAATTTCTCCAAAGAGAAGTTGATGTTCCCCCTCTGATGGAGCTGCTCATATAATTGGGATTAGATTGATTATAAGTAGGAACACCCACCTAGATGCTGTGATTACCATAAACCATGATGCTGGCTCAGTTTTAAAGTAGATCAAGATGTTCTGAACATGAAACATGTGGAAAGTCATGGCTTTTGTATAGCAGTTTGCTTTTCTAGTGATAATCCAGCTTCAAAAGTAACCCAAATCAACTTTCAGTTAGTATGACATGGTATAATTCCATGATGGGTTAGGGTGGCATAGTATGAGTTTGTTTTTTATTAACTGTATAAATTAATTCAGATGACCATACACGGAAGCCTTGCAGCTTATTTGTGGTGTGTACATGTAAATTTGATTGTTGCAGTCCCTAAAATATCTGGTATTGGTACTTTCTTAGGACAACAAGGATAAAGTGCTGAAAATATTGGAATAAAATACAAACTTGCTGCATTTTCAGCAGCCTCAAACCTCTCCTGGCTAGTCAGGTGAGACAGATTATTTTCATCAAAAGCTGCTTGTAGGCTGTGATATTTGTAGTGTTCATGCTTAGCTCCCAGTGTGTTGGTCATGATCTGATTATTCAGATATAATTCATTGTGTGGAAGTGGAGGCAGGTAGATGTTGACTTCTAAGATTTATTTTTTTTAAAATAGTCTGTAATGTCCTGCTTGAGTAGTATTTGATATGTACTTCATTTTAATGAGATGTTGAGGCTGAGAACTTTCTTATGAAATGACAGAGTCACTTATATCTTACTGATGGTGCTTCTTCTTTCTTTGTGTTTCTTTTGGTTTAGTCATTCTCCAGCTGACACTTACATTTTCCTTTGGGTAACCTGTTTTTGTTTCCTAGGGTTGCAGTGTGTGGATTTCAGTCGTTGGTCCAAGCAGATATCTTGAAGCAACATCATATGGGGTTTTTGGTTTTTTTTCCTCTTCAGAGTCATTATTTGTATTGGCATGGATGAATCTCTGTCATATCAGCTCTGATCTGCCCTATGTGGAATGCTTTTTTTTTTTTTT